TTTGTGTGAACTCCACTTTAGTAGTGAAGATGTTATAAGGAATTATTCTGGTTGCAATATGCCAGTTAAACAGAGGTAACTTGTGTTTGTATTCTGTCTGGTATTATATTATTTGAATAATTATGATAATTATTGATCCTTACCATTGTTTATCCTAAATTATTTGTTAATGAAATGAAAAAATGTTAAATTAATTTTTTTTTCTTTTAGTTCTAGTTCTACAGATAGTAATAATGGTTCATTTTCTTCTGCTGATTTTGTTATTCCGCTGTCTGCTACTAAACCTAGGCTAAAAATAAATGCTATTCCTTCAATTTTTGAAATAAATGGTTAGTGTAATGATTTAACTACATGGATATATGTATATATTATAAAAAAAAAAACTATTCAATTCATCTTATTTTTAGATCAAAATGTTACTGTTACCAATAATTCTTTAAGTGTTGAAGAATATAACAAATGTTTAGCGTCAACTAGTAACTATTATTGTTCTGATATACTACAATCTACGTCGCATGAGGTTAATTAAATAATAATTTGAATTTTTAACTACCTACCTATTTAAACTTACAATCCTAATTATAGTACCTATAAGTTTCTTATAAAGTTGGAAAAATAAAATAAGGTATGAATGTATTAAGTGTTTTTAAACTAAGATTTCTTTTTAGTCTTTACCACTTCAACCATCATGTAGAAAACAACTTAAGTGGTCTGCTGAAGATGTAATCTTGCCAGAACAGTTACCATATCCACAAAATGATGAAGTAATTAAATATAAATAAAATAGTCCCCCTAAAAAAAAAGAACCCAAAAATACTAAATAAATATTTAGTGATCTGTTTTTAATTTTTTTATTAGTCTCCAATATCTGACTTGTTTAGTTCCTATGATGATTTATTGAAAAATTACAAACATATAGTCTTACCTATTGCTTGGAATAGTGTATGTGAAGATAGTTCAATGGTGTTTTTTTTTGTGCGTCCAAATGGTTACAATAAAATGGCTGTTGTTGAAAAACAATTAGTATTTACTGATGATGAAAAAGTTGAGTGCTATATATTAAATTGCACGTACATGTCCCCAACCCCACCCATTCTGAAATTTGAAATTTTTTTCAAGTCAACATTTAGCAGTCAATTAGCAACAATTTGCAAGACTGGTTTCACAATTTGCAAGCCATTAGCAAAACCATAAAACAAAAAAATGTATGGGTGGGGCTGGAGACATGTGTCTCCAGCCCCACCCATCTCATCGAAAACACATTTTTTTAATTTTTCTTGAACCATCATTTAGCAGCCAATTAGCAACGATTTGCAAGGTAGTTGTCGAAATTTGCAAACAAATATTTCGTCCGTAAAAGAGGTTTCCGAAATTTGCACATGTCCCCAGCCCCACCCCGTATTTAAAAAATGCGAATTTCGACTTGAGTTTCATGTCAACATTTAGCAGCCAATTAGCAACAATTTGCAATGTAGTTATTTTCTTATTTTATTCTAATTCACAAACGAATATTTGTGGATATTTGAAATGTTCATCATATATGTATATGTTTATTACACCACTTACATACTTGATAAAGTTTTCAAAATAATTTTACTCCTTTTTAGCTGTTTATTGATATTTTCAATTTTTAATTTTTTAAATTTGTTTTGTCTCTTTACATCAGTAAAATGTTATTCGTTCTGCCATTAAGCTTAAAAATGTAATACAAGGGTGCCGATGTGTTTGTAAACAAGTGTTTTAAAAATATTAAAAATACAAATTCACTATTTTTTTTTTTTATAAGTATTTAAAGGTCTAACGATTTTAGTTTTTTTTAAAATTTAAAAATATTATTCATTGGTACTCGAAATTTCTTAAGTATATTGTTGTATTATACAAATATGATAATACCTATGCAAATAATATTAAATCGACCTACTGGCTATCGTATTAATGCAAACAGTATTTAAAAATATAATATAAAATATTCAATTCCCTACAAACCGTCTCCTCTCAAAATCGTTTTTCTTATACAATGATATAAGTAATATCATTGAATTCAAATTTAAGTAATACCATCCATTACAGCGACTCACAGGTCACTTGTGACTTATTGTACAGCGGAGAGTCACCCATTTGCCCGCTCTCATCCCAAAGCAGTGGTGACGGGAACTTAATGTAGGTATACTTTATAACTACTAACTAGCCTAAATTTATACATCCAATAACTACGACCTTTTATTCATTTTTTTTTTAAGAAATTTATACCTTATTGGATATTACTAGGATTGATAATTTTTTTACTTTCCGTTATTTTTCATGATCAGTATTGTTAATAGCATAGAACAATATAGAAGCGACACTCGATCAGCTGATGGGTGAAGTGTTTACCTATGATCTGAAGTCCGAACATTCAAACTGTTTCCGTTTACCAACATGATGTTATACCCGTATTGAAAAACCGTTTCCGATTAAGTGGCAGGGTATTCTGCGCGGGGTCGGGTTGTTTCCAGCATAGAAAAATTGTTTCCACTGTTTACTGTAACGTATGCCACGCCCCTTTAGAGACCATTTTCAAGGCCACAATCGCCCGATCCGACCAATTCACGGAGTGTCGTACCCCTGTTAATAGTCGTCAACCTGTAAATCAATTTAGATTTAGTATATGTTTTATATTATATATAATAAAATTCTATGTATAATATAATTTAACTGATAGAAAAAATGTACACTTAAATGCATAGATATTAAAGAATGGATAGGCCATTTATGCTTAACATACGGGAATGAACATGAAAATATTTTGAGGTTATAGAGGTGTTGCGCCACGACAACTCTTACGATTTGTGGCAGTTGTTTGCCGTGACTTGCGCTGTAGTATCGAGTATAGGTGACCACAATAATATAACAACAAAACACCAAATAATTATGAACGGTGGATTAACACCAAAAAAAATTACTATATTGTATACACTTAACGCAATATATAATACTATGTATATGACAAAGGGAGGGCGCCCCAATCTTACAGTAGGTATAATTAAATACAAATGAACACACAAATATCAACACATAAATATCAACACATAAATTATAAATCAATTGACCTGGTACGCTGATGAAAGTGAGACTTGAGACTCCTCCGGATCGATTGCGAAGACATCGACATCCAGCTGTCCCGCGGAAATCGCTGCGGCAGCACGCGACTATAATCGTCAACACACGGTTGATGCGGCGGCACACAATAAGATGGTGGCGGCACGCAATTTGGATCGGCGGCACGCTTACGCAACGGCGGCACACGATCGAGGTAGTGGCGGCACACGGAATTACAAGCGGCGTTACACGATGATAGTGGCAGCACACAAAAGGTTAACGGTGGCACTCAAAATTACTACCAACGGCACACGTGATAGTGGCGGCATACGTGAAACGGCAAACCGTAGCGGCGGCACACGAAATTGACGGCGGCCCACGTGGTAGTGGCGGCACACGGAGACGACAAACCGTAGCGGCGGCACACGAAATATTACCAACGGTTCGCAATTACAGCGGCGGCACACAACAATGTAGTGACTAGTGGCGGCACACGAAATAATATAGGCGGCACACGGAATTAAAAACCGCTCGTCGCACACTATACAAATTTTAAAAAGCACGGCGACGCAAAAGGCGTCGACCAACGGCTGCATACGAATTGCATGCCAAAAAAAAAAAATGTCCAAATTGCATGCCGTCTCTTGTAGGGGTTTGTCCGAATTGCGTGCCATCTCTTGGAGGGGTCTGTCCGAATTGCATGCCATCTCTTGGAGGGGTCTGTCCGAATTGCATGCCACCTCTTAGAGGGTTTTGTCCGGATTGCATGCCGTACACCACACGTTTATTTACTATGCACTTAAACAACTTAAACTTTTTTTTTGGACTTTTTATATCCGTGTAAATATTTTCCCAAACAGTATCTATATTGGAGTAATGCAGTGTATTGTGGTCTCGGTCTGTTTCACAACAGATTAATAATATTTTATTATTATGAATTATTATTATATATTATTTTGTTTATTTAAATAATTGTAATATTGTGTGCCCGAAATGTCAAAAAAACCACCAAATTTAAAAATAATATTATTTAAAATACACTCTCTTTATTACCCTGAACTACAATAGTTTTATTTAACTAATGGCCTTTGTTGTCGATGAAAAAAAATAGTTTTATTTTATGATTCTTATTCACAGTGTCACCTTCTACAATATTTATATGTTTTATTGTAATGTAACAAAATCCCGATCCTCCAGTTGAAAAGTAAGTTGTTTATTCGGATATACCCCTCTAAGAGATGGCATGCAATTCGGACAGGCCCCTCCAAGAGACGGCATGCAATTCGGACAGACCCCTTCAAGAGACGGCATGCAATTCGGACAGACCCCTTCAAGAGACGGCATGCAATTCGGACAGACCCCTCCAAGAGACGGCATGCAATTCGGACGACCCGATTTATATTAATTTTTTTGGCATGCAATTCGGATGCACCGCGACCAACGGTTAAGCAACGACGAACGAAAAAAAACACGTTGCGCGCACGGTACCGGTAACGCGCCTGCAAAAATCCACGGCCGGCGGCACGGACACAGCGTGACCGGTTCGAGAGAGAGGCAATGAAAATGGCCAGACTGGCACCACACGTACCTGTGAACGACGCGGTGTAATTGAACCGCGCCGAAACAGTCCGGTGTTTGAACAGAGGTCTTAACACAAATGTATATATATATAATTATTGTACATAATTTATGATAAGACCCTCTGCTAAAATGAGAAGCAATGATAAAAAACAGTCTTTCTCTCTTCCCCATTCCTGTGACACTTCCCTCTATTTTATTAATATAGCCATGGCCTATCCATTCTTTAATATCTATGCTTAAATGTGACAATGAATGATAAGAGTCAAATAAGATTAAAAGAGATCTTGTCTTTTCAACTAATTTAACATATAAATCTTATAATAATTTTTAATATTAAGTAATTATACAGTATAAACTAAAAATTCACAATTTACAGTTGTCGTTTCTTTGACAGGTATTGGTTTTTTTTTTAAGTCGTCAAACAACTCCCAGTTTCGGCCATATCTTTTTGTGTATGCCGTATAGTGTCCCACTGAGCTTCTTAAACCACCTTTTCCTTTATAAAAACATAGTACACCCCTCAGTTCATAATTGTTCGTACCATGTGTAAGTATTTGAGGAATATCACACAGTTTCAATTTCATTAGTGTAGCAGCTTCACTGCTTCGCTGACTTGAAATCATGTCTTCTCCTAAAATTAAAAATGTTAAAAAAAGTTAGGTGTGTACCATGAATAAATATATATTTACAATAATAAATTATTACCTTCCCAAAATAAAACGTCAATGAATAGGTGCATTGGTGAAATTAAAAATTTTGTTTTTTTTATTCCATCACACTTTTCATTTGAACATTGTTGGTGTTCTTTAATACTCGTGCGGTCATTTAAATACTGCTGAAGTTGACTTATGTTTGTTTCTATGTCAGTTTGAAATGTTATAAAATTATAATTCATGTAAGATTTATTAAGACACACGTTAGATGAACACTCAGTAATTTCTTTAAGTGATGGAAAATCAATAAATAATTTATCTATCACATTTCCAGTAGTAGCGTCACAAATAGCCAGTGTGGTGTCATATTCTAATGAGCGAGTTTCTGGATTTAAATAGTACATGATTATCTCAGCTCGTGTCGAGTACGTTGCAGATGTTATGCCATTTTTAACGATACTCGAAATGAAACAAAAATAATCAGAATCTATTGAATCAATAATTTTGGAATAGTTTTGGCTATCACAATAAGATACCTATAAAAATATAAGATTAATAAAAATATTTAGGTTATAATAAACGGAAATGGTTTTAATCGATCTAATTTTGAAATCAACATATTCAAGAAATTACTTAAATAAATGTATAAATTACTATAGGTTTTTTATATAGGTTATACATATATAAGTTAATATTTAGTAACAGTTTACAGTAGTTAATAGTATTTTATTTTATTGTAGTACTATTACTTATCATTTATTAAAATAATATTAGTACAATGATATGAATGATCATAAAAACTAATATTTTTATTCAATGTCAATAATTACCATAAGAATTGATGTAATAGAATCAATTGCACAGGTGTTGCTGAAAATAACTTTTCCCTGAATATTTTTTGTTTTACTGCTTTTTAATTCTTCAAATCGAGACCCATTTTTTAAAATTGGTAAGGACTTCATACTTCGTGAATTACTTATATCCAGGTATCGTAAATGAGGATTGGGCACCAGGTATGATTTTGATTTTCTAGGTTTTTTACGGTTCCAATTTTCAAGGGCCAAGCTCTCTTCATTTAAATCACTTTTTTCTAATACAAAAAAAAAAAATAAAAAAATAATCAAAAATAAAATAGAAAGTCAATATAATAAATACCTATTTATTTTTATTACACGGTTAAAACAATTGCTAAGATAATGAATACATTATACTTTTAATATTTCAATATAGTTTAAGGATATTTTTTTTCATATGTTGTTTTTTCTACTTTAAAGTTAAATTTTATAAATTTATACATAATTTTTTTAGCTGGTTATAATGTAAATATAAGTAAATATGTGAAATCAATAGAATAAGATTAGCTTGGCGTAGTGCGGTTGCTGCAATTAATGACGGGGCGAGAGTGAAAGTAAGATCTGCCCGCTGCCACTAGTTCCCGGATGGGTGACCATCTGGGTTTTTAGTGACAAAAACCTTGCCACACATACACGTGTTGCTAACCAACCTCTACAAAAACTTGTGGCCATAGGTAACCGGGCTCAAAATAAAATAAAAAAAAATTAATAAGATATTTGTTTAATTATAGAACAAATATTAATTTCGGCAACCGGGCGGCATTTTTCTTCGGGCAAGTCACGGTGTCCGGAGAATAAGTGCCTCCATCCCCCACCCGGGCATGTCAGATACCTACGGGTGCCCACTTGAAAATTCTACCAAACCAACACACACGTGTTACCAACTTTCAATACCAACCATACAAATCAATCCACCGTACCACCCATATCCCCATAACAGTACATAACCCCACGATAGCTAATGGCCTAGTCGCCGGGCTTAAATTCAATAAAAAAAAAAAAAATATATTAATTTGTATAATTTTACATAAGGTATACGCTATTTGTATTATTATTAACTATGCCTACATAAAAATTAGTGCCAAATAATTGTTTAATAATTGTTTTCTATCCTTATCCTGATCGCGGCAGGTATAAAAATTAATGAATAATAAATTTAAAAACATTTTTTGGATAGGATTATCATTCTCTGTTGTTACCTGTGATAATTGTATTGCTACTAAAATGATTTATTGTTTCAAAATTTGTGTTAGATTATTAAGTGTTAAAAACAAACAATTTAAAATTTAAAGTACATTTATCAATCGTTTATAATTTTCAAAATAAATATTGTACCTACCTACGTTACATAGCGGATAAGTTGTATATCTATTTCTTTCTTCTGCTATTTCATCATTCAATGTTGCTATCAAAGTGTCATCAACCATAATATTTTCAGAATCATCAATTTTATGACTATATATGTTGACTTTACAACTTTCAATTCCATTACAGGACCTCTCTTCACTATCTATTCCACTAGCACCTTCTTCTAAAACTCCACACATCGTTTGAGGCGTAGAGTTGTTGTCGTTATTTACAGATGGTAAATGATGAATTTCATTTTTTGCATAACGTATCAGTGAGTATCCTTTGAGCGCTTGAATGTGGTTTTCCAAAAATATTTCGATGTTCGTTGGTAAATTTATGTGTTTCATAGTAATATTTTTAAGTTTCTTGAAACTTGATTCTACAGCAGCAGAACTAGAAATGTCTTCTCCATAATCAAAAATTGGTATCATTACGGCAGACCATAAAGGTATATTTTTCGTTGTTTTTATAAGAACAGAAACCAATTCAGGGCAATAGAATGGATTAATACCTGTTCCATCTTTAATTAATGTTTTACTTTCTAACAAAATGGCATCAGCCCATGCTTGAAATGTATTCTCGTATGAATCCAAAGCTTTGTTCTGGCGTTCGTACTCATTTTCTATCAATATTCGAGCATCATCTTCAGTTTCAGCTAATGATACTATATCATCAAACTCTATTTGTAAATCAACAAAACCGGTTGATGTGGCTTCAGTTAAAAAACGTTTTTGTTGTTCGCAGGGAGTTTCTTCACCATTCTCAATATCTGTTCCATTTGTTTCATTAGTCAGCAATACAAATAAAGGTAATAGCAAAACACGAATTTCATTCATTGTTTTGCACTTGATTAACAACCCAATCGCACAAAGTATCATTTCTCTAGCCAATCGCGTGATTGATTTTAACGGTCTCCATTTGCTAGCTATTTTGATGAAATGCGCGACGTCGATTCTAACAAAACAGCGAGGAAGCGCTTGGTAGTCAAATACAGTCTCCTTAAGTAATCCAGCACAAGCTCTCAGATAGTCTTGTAGAGTTGAGTACTGGGTGAAACTCTAAACAATAGCTGATAATAGGGCTATAGAATGGTCACACACCGCCTCTCTTGGTTTCGGAACATCACAATTTAACCAATTTTGTAACCCATTCGATATTGAAATATTTGAATGACTCTCACTTATCATATTGGTTACCGTAAAATTTTGGTGTTTTTGAGCATCATATACTAGAGCTTCATACAATAAAAGGGATTTCGTTTTGTTTTCTTCTATGCCACATTTTGAAAAACTTTTTACCACTGAACCTGTTGCATCAATAACTATCTTAGGATATTTGGTGGTCTGACAGTAACTCCTATAAATAGCTATTTGTTCAGCAGCATGATAATGAATGTAAAAAGGTTCATATCCCATATCATGTAAAATGTTTTTAAAGTCAGATTCTTTTTTCATTATTGCCAATGAAATAAACGTATCTTCATTTCTACGATTAGAAGCTAATTTCCGAGACTTTAAAAGTCGTAATGAATTCGATGATGGAATTATTGCAGGTTCAGGGTCCCCTAATACAAACAAAGTAACCAAGATTTACTGATATTCCATATCAAAATGTCAAATAAATAAAATGTTGGATTCTGATGGAGCATTGCATGTATTTAATTTAAATATAATATATTATGTTATTTTGTGTGTGTGTGTGTGTGTGTGTGTGTGTGTGTGTGTGTGTGTGTGTGTGTGTGTGTGTGTGTGTGTGTGTGTGTGTACGAATTTTGATAGGAACAACAACGAATCATAGAGCTCAAGAAATGTATAAAATATAATAAGTGATGCATACCTAATTTCATTAGACGATGTGCTTCCTTTTCCCTGTAAGTTTCGCAAGCAATATTGTTGTCAATAATTGACGTTAAAGCCTTTTCTCTAGCTGGACCAATCAATCTTCTTTTTTTATTGCATTTACTATGGGACTCATTGAAATTACCGATGTACAAACAGTGCATTAAAACTCTGTTAAATAATTAAAAGTAATTATATGACATGAAAATATCACTTTCAAGGTTATTAATGAAGCTAATTCCATATATTATATAATATTATACCTATATATGTTTTTATAGGGCTGTAAAACGATCAACAGCGGATATTATGGTCATGTAGTTAACCCCCTCTTTCATAGAAATTATCTAAACTAGTGCAAATAATTTCAAAGTGATTTTTAGAATTTTGAAATCAAAATTATAATTTGACGAATTCTTCAACAATTTTGGTCAGCCCTCCCCTATCCCATTTTTACAACCATGCCAAAGCATTGCATATTATATTAAGTAAATTAATCGTTATAAAAAATAGTTCAATATTTATATATTTATTAGATTTCTAAAAATAATAATCAAAGTTGTGTCTATTAATAATTAATAAAATAGGTCCATGTCGATGGCAACCCCCATTTCGAATTTCGGGTCCAATCAAATTGTATTCGTTAGTGCTTCGTTAATGCACGTTAGTAATTTATCCTTTCCAAAGTTATTAGCATTTGGACAGGAGATAGTTAAGTGTAATTTTAATTAAAAATGTATTTTGAATTACAAAGGGTAGTCAAAGACAAAAAAAAAAAAAAAATTAAACAAACAAATTCTACTTGACTAAAAAATGTAATTTGAATAAAAATCTAATTAGAACCATAATATAAAAAACTCCATTATAGGTAGGTACTAACTCTATTACTTCATACTATTTAATTGTAACTATATGTACCTTGAATTTTCTAGTGGCATATCCCTTACAAATCCTGAAAATTTCGAATTGCATGATGTACATCGACCAACAACATTAATATAGTTAGTTCCGCTAGGATTAACTTTTGCTCTACGAAAGACAAGGTACAAGGAAGCTGAGTGTGAATCCAAAAATGCTCAGCAAGCACAGGACTCCATGAGTTTTTAGGTAAAGCCATGTAAGATTTGGAACTTGATAGCGGTCGATTTTTATCGTTCATTCTATAAACGTATTCTCGTGGTTGTATTTCTTTCCATACATCGGGAGAAAATGTAAATACTATTTTTTTTTTTTTGGTAAATTTTCTTCATCACTTGTACTAAAAGAAGTATCTAATAAACAAATATAAATTAATATTATTATAACAATTTGTACAGATGGATTGAATATAATATTTGCTTAAAATAAATAGGTACAAACCGG